TTAAAAGCATGAGCCACCTTGACCAGTTCATGAACACCTAACCTCTTAGCAAATTCCTACAATGTTTACCATCTACAACATCAACCAACACCTGCATCTCTCACTTTATCTAGGATGGATAACTAAAAGCAAAACAGAAAAGGAAAGTAAAAACTAAGTTGGGTGGCATTTACCTATGAATACACACTTGGGAGGCAGAGGCAGGAAAAAACGTCTTAAGGTCCGGGCCAAACAAGGTTACATGGAAACTTGTCTCAAAAAAGGCGGGTGGTGGCTGCACAAGTAATCACAACACTCCGGAGGCTGAGGCAGGTGGACATTTCTGTGAGTTCGAGGCCAGCTTGGTCTATAGGTGAGTTCCAGAACAGCCAGGACTATGGAAAAACCATTGGGGGGTGGAGGGGAGTTTAAAAGCATGAGCTGTTAAATGGTAAAATGGTGACAGCAATCACTTATCAGTTATCAATAGTTTTCAATACAGCAAGCACTCCCACCAGGCACTACATGCATTTCTACCCTTCAAAGGCAAACGGTGCAATGGTGGGGAGGGAGTGGGAGGGAGAAATCAGAGCTTTAAATTACGGGCAGGGATGGGGAAACAGCAAGGGATACAAACTTTCAGTTTTAACTTCTGGATACTTAATGTACAGCACGGTGATTAGTAATAATGTACGCTTGAAACCTGCTGAGAGTAGACCATGCGTTCTCAAAAAGAAACTGAAGGTGCTTGGACGAGGTATATACTAATTAACCTGACAATGGTAATCATTTGACAACCTCCATGTGCATCAAAATATCACGCTGTACATTTTAAATATATAAGTTACTATTTTGTGAGTCACACCTCAATAAAGCTAAAGAAAACAATATCCAGAGAACCCCGAAAAGGATGGTTTTACCAGAAAAAGTAAAGATACTGAGGGCTACCGGTTGTCTGCAAAATCTGGTAAGGCACAGCTGAGATTTGCTGATCGCAAAAAATTACAAAAGGGCAAAATTAGACTAAGTCCATACCATTCAGCAAAGAAAAGAGGAACGGGGATTCCAGGAAGCCACCGAGAGGTTCCTACGGTACCACCGGGAATGGGGGCGTTCCAAGCCGGCCTCCACCTTGGCCACCCCACCTGCAGCGGGGCCTGGGAAGAGCAGGCTCAGCACAGGGTTGGATCGCCCGCCCAAGGCGAGCAAGCGGCACCGAGAAGCGCACGACCCCGGGGAAGAAGGGCTGCAGAAGGGCGGGGCGCGCGCCGCCGGGGTCGCGAGGGCGCCGCCGGGCAGTAGCGCAGCAGCCC